AAAAAACAATCCGAGCGTGATGCATCATAAAGCGTAATTAAAAAGAAAAAACTATATAAGAATATTAGCCTATATACGATAGGCGACAGCTGGCAATTCTAGTGAAAAGTAAAAGGAACGAAGAAGTGGAAGAAAAAAAAATGTGACATTAGTTAGAGTAGCACATTCAACAGAATAATAAAATATCTTCATACTTATATTTGTCTGTTTTATTTTTTACATTTAGATAAAAGATGGTAACAATAATATTATTATTTTTCTTATTATTGTTTCCAACAGTTCTTACTTATACCGATGGATCAATCAATTTAATTGTTCGTTCAACATCATCCACATCGGATATTCATCGTTATTGTATTGAACTTGCTAAATTACCAAATAATCGTACAGTAGATATAAAAGATTTTGGTTGGTATTCACCCTATCTATTATCACCATCTTTTAACGCTTGTAATATATCAAATTTTAATAATTCTTTACCTAATTCATTATTATCAAATACAATTCTTATTATTTATGAACATGAATGTAAAATGACTGAACATGCATGGAATATTGAACAACATTTTAAACAACAAATATCTCTAATGATAATAACAAATCGAACAAATACTCATTATGAATTAACATATAATACAACAACTATGCCTGTTACAATTCCAGTATTAATTTTTTGGAAAAATGATTTTATTAAAATGACTAATACATATAAAAATTTAAGTAATATTGAATTATCAATTGATTATCCATTTTATATGACAAAAAAATTTCGTCCATCTATATTATTAATATTTCTATTAGTTTTAATTGTTTTACTTTGTGGTAATTTTTGGGCTGGTAGTGAATTTAAAAATAAAGTAAAAAAACCTAATATAGATACAAATCATGAATTATCTAATTTACATACAACATCATCTACAAATGAAAGAGTAACATCAAGAATATTAACTAAACGAAATTCTATCGTACCAAATGAACCATTTGAAAATAATGAACCAGCAGTACTTCCCATGACTTGCTGTATTATGATAATTATTATTTGCTTTGCTGTTGGTTGGCTATTGTTACTTTATTATTTTCCAAAAGTAATGATAATAATATTACAAAGTAAATATTATTCATACTCGATTTTTTTTGTAAAATCAAAAATAATCAATCTATTCGTTGAATTTATTTTAAGATATAGTATATTTTTAACAACGAAATATGAAGACAAGAAAAGTAAATGATAAATAAATAGCATAGTCATTGTGCTCTCTAACAGCAACCATGATGATCTCACAATAAACTATACAAGCACATCACTTTAATTAATACAAATCATCTATATATGTATATCTTAGTTACTAACACGAAACGAAAATAGTGTAAAGAGAATGTTGAAGCGAGAAAAGAAGAAGAATCAATCTTTTCGATTAGGTTTATCGATATAGAATACTGCCAAGAACGAGATTATATTCTACAGTTAACAAATTTCAGGAACAGATACCTATTTCGTTCCTCTTCGACGACAGGAAACGTATATATATATACGTTTTGAGCTTTTTGCACAGATTCCAACATCTATCTGCAAGATTCTACAAAAATTCTGCACAATTCTACTTGACTGTGTAATTCCGGAATCTTATGAAGTTCGATAATTCTTCGGAAAAGCCACTATTTCTCTTAGCGTACACGCTCCATTTCAGGTTTTTATGGAATAAATCATAATTTTTGCATCTCTTCAAAAGAACATTCGTCGCGATAGAGTTAATAATCTATAGCGCGATAGTCTTAACGCAAAATATTCGGTTACCAAAAAATAGCTAGTTATTGTGTCTGTACAAAGAAAATTGTGGTTTCGGCGTGATTCTTAGTTCACATAGTATGTGCCTTGAAATAGCTTCAATTTAACATTATTGTACAGTACCGAATTCTATACAAACTGAGATATTGCAATAAGCGAAATCAGTAATCACTGTTTCAAAAATTGGTTTTAAAAATACAAAAGTAAATAACATGCTTTGTAGAACAAACTATTAAAAAACTGTTTAGTATTTTGAACTTAATATGTTTCAATTGAAATACAAAATTGATCAAAATAGTATTCTGTACAAGCACTGTCTTCAAACAATTTGATGATAGTTATCCAATCCTACTCCAAAAGGAACGTTTGAACACAAAACTGGAAAGAGCAAAGAATGTCTGCTTCTAGCTATAATGAGTTGCCGTTAAGTAATCGAAAAATGAGTGAATATTTTGTACAAAGACTTTTGTACCATAGATTATGTCATCAAAACTATTATATTGGAAAGAAAACAATTCCGACATCAACTTCTTTCTATTCTATTGTTTTGAATTTTCACATGTACCGATCACCAACATATCAGATGTTTTGCAAGATCTATATTAGCAATGAATCTTAAGCAAATTTGATTCAACACTATCTAAATTATTAGGCGCTGATAGTTTGCTAAAAGCTAAATCATAACTAGATGATACTGTATGATGAGTATCATCATTACTTGATCATAGTGATAAAGGCAGTCATGCTAACATTTGTATTGATGTTTTCATCTTCGTAGCCATATTAACATTTTCTCTATTGTCTTACTTATATTTTTAGTTATATTTTGCATTGGTGCATTTTCATCTTTAACATCATGTTTTGATCGTTTAAGTTATTTTATACCATATCTTCGTCTTTATTCAACATCATCACATACATTTCATAAACCATGTGTTTGTCAATTAGGTCCATTAAATATATTTACATTATTTGCAATGTGTATATCATTAACACTTGTAATTATTTGGTATATATATCGTCATACTGATTGGGCATGGATTTTACAAGATATACTTGGTGCAGCAATTTGTATTACAGTAACTTCTATCTATCGACTTGGTAATATGCGTGCAATTACAATTATTTTAGTAGCATTTTTTTTCTATGATATATTTTTTGTTTTTATTACACCATATATTCCAATATTTCAACAATCACCAAATCTTTCAAATTCTAATAATACTACAACAGTAAGACCATTGACTGAACCATCATCATCATCATCAAATACTTATATAATATCTCGAAAACCAAAACGAAATCCATCTGTTATGGAACAAGTTGCTTTAGGTATTGGAACAAATGGTGAAGTTGTACCACTTTTATTTATTTTACCTGCATTTATACCTGAAAATGAAATGGATCCATGTGCTACAGTACAAAAATCAATGCTCGGTTATGGTGATATCATTTTGCCGGTAAAGAATTTTTTTTTTCGTTGTTGTGCGTTTTATGAAACACGATCTAAAAGGAATATTGAAGTATATAGGAATAAAAATTTATATCTCCCTCGACTCCTAACAGACCGTGACAGATATTATTGATATACGATCAAAGACCATATCAGAGTTGGAACCGGACAGGTTTTTTGTATCCGGTCCAGTCCGGCCAGTAGAAAAACCTGTCCGGTCCGGTCCGGTCGGAATCCGGCCAGTTCATTTTCGAAGTCAAACTGGCAAAAACCCGGCAAAAATTGGAACTTAAAAGAAGCTTGTTTACGAAAAATAGTAAGTGAAGTAAAATTTTCGATATTTACATGTGGATATTTGAAGTAGACCGTCTGAATATATATTAAAAAAACAGCTTCCTTGTATCAGATTCCAAGATATCGACTTTTCAAGCTGACAATGAATAGAGATGAGTCGATTATATCGAATATCGACTACTCATCGTTATTTAAAAACAAAAAATCAAGCTCAGTAATAACTATCGTGAATGACGCATATTTTTCTCTTTTTCTACTAAGAATCGTTCAAGAAGATCAAGGCAGAAGAACTGCTTGATTTTGTGGTGGATATGATGGTCGTCAGAGAGAAGTAGCAAATAGAATAGAACCTATACCTCTAGGTTATAGTTTCCCATGTGAAGCTTTTGTCATGATTCGGTGTTCTTGCCAATGGAATCTGACTGAAGTTTTTGAGTCGGTCTCTTTGTGTTTCGAGCACAACTGGCAGTTGTTGTCGAAGAACTCCAGCGACTTCAACTAGCAATCCAATTGCAAAATACATCGGAACATAATGAAACCTGTCGATTCTGATGGTTTTCGACCACTTTCTTATAGATCTGGCAGCCGGAATAGTTGACGTAGGATTTCTCGCTTTCATGTCTTAAACTTTCCGTCTTTTCCTAATTACCACAATCATTGCACCGATCGGCTATTGCTCTAGCAACTGCAATCGTTCCATAAGAGAGAAGCAGTTCTCTTGCTTCTTTCTGTCTATTTCTCATTTTGAGTACTATTCTATTCATCTTTTTAGTCGAAAATGTAGAAAAAACTCGTTCTTCGGTGAAAAATCATCAATACGAGCAACCATTTTGCAATGATGAACTGGCAAAAATCCGGTTTTGTCCGGCCGGATTTGATTTCTCGTCCGGTCCGATTCGGTCTTGTCCGGTCCGGTCCGGTCGGACCGGTTCCAACTCTGGACCATATATCAATAAACATGAGCAAGAGCCATTTCATCGTGTTTCATGTTTTAATCCAGCAGAAAATATGTTGTTTTATACATCATTATTTTGTTTTTTTAGGGTATTCTATTAACATTTTGTAGAATATTTGATATAGCTAGTAATAACCGTTGGCCCATTTATTATATTCAATCAGTAATATCTTATTTTATTGGTTTATCTTTAACTCATGTTGCACTTTATTTAATGAATACAGCACAACCAGCATTACTTTATCTTGTACCATGTTTACTTATATCAACAATTATTACTGGTTTATGTCGTCGAGAATTAAAAGAACTTTATACAGGTAAACGAATACAATCATTTCTTAATGGAACAATACATAATTCAATATTATCATTACATAATGGTATTGATAATCCAATTGGACAACAAATAAATGATGAAACACAACAAAGTGATATTGTTATTAATATTAATAATAAAACTAATATTAATCATTATTAATTTATATTTTATATAAAATAAAAAAACAAAAAACTTATTTTACAATAGAATTTTCTACACGATGATGAATTGTACGATAAATGAAAATAACAATGATAAAAAGAATAGCTAGAACAAGTATAATAAGTGCAAGACTAATAAGAAAAACTAAAACAGTTATAAGAAGATTAGTTTTAATACTATCATAACATGTTGGTTGACCTATATCACCATAATAACATATACCATCTAATGTTGGTACATTATTACCAACAAATATACGACCTGCATGTCCAGCATCATTTGTATCATAACCACAACAAGAACGAGGTAATTGACTATTATATTTCCAACCTGTAGTTGGTGTTGGATACCAATCAGTATTATTATCTTTAACACCACAACAACTAAAATAATATTGAACAAAATCCCAACCATCACGAACAAGTGTTGTACTTGTTGAATTATAATAATAATAAACTGTTGTTTTTGTACTTGATGCAAGTCGTTGTAATTCTGTATCACCTACAATTATAACAAAAATTACAAAACCAATTAATATTAAAAAGAGTATTATAAGTAGAATAGGTCCAATACAAAAACAGAATCCATAATAACGAAATTTAATACAAATAAGACATATAATAGTAAATATTGAAATAATTAATATAATAATACTAATTATAATACCAATAATTGCAGTAATAAGAAGAGTATCAGTTGGTCCTTTACCAGTAAATCCTGATGATGGAAGAGCTTGTGGATACATAATTGCTACGGTACGTATTTTTGTCATATTTGGATTAAGTAAAAGATTAAGTGAAAAAGCAAGAAGAAGTAATGAAATAATTAAAATAAATATACCAAGAATTATAGTAAATATTCGAAGACATCGATGATTGCATAAAGTTGATTTTTTTTTCTAAATTAATGAATAGATTTGAATATATTCAAATATTGATACTATCATAACTATATAGTTTCTTTAAATTCTCTAAAAATTATAATGTTTAAATCAATTAAACCTATAGACAAAATTTATCATTCAATATTTTTAAATGAAATTATTGAAAAATACTAGAAAAACTCGTCCTCTAGTTTTTTGCGACAATAAATGTATCGTACTCGCAATACTACATTAACAGCCAGTATTCAATATTCATATATGAAAGTATTGGTATTGTAAGCAGTTTTTTATGCATCGTTCAATACTCTTCTATGATCACAAAGTATTCATGATATCGACAAAGGAAAACAAACTGATTTCTTGATTTTCATCATTAAAAATCAATTTTTATTTGTTCACCATGAATCAATAGATATCAAAGCTTTATCTTTAGTCTTATTACTGTAGATTTTCTATGATTTATAGCATATGGATCGGTTTGTTTCCGCTTGGATATCCACTTAAAATAGAGTAATCTATAGAACACAAAAGTCTTGGCACAATATATTTGCTCATTTTTCAAACCAAAAAAAAGACAACTGGTTAGAATCAGAAATTTTCACTCGTTTCAAATGTATGACCAGATTTTCTTTCTCAAATAAGATTGAACAACTAACATTAAATCTTTGTAAAAAAAAAAAAAAGTCTAAAATTGTGTCTGTACAAAACAAAATAGTAGTTTCGATGTAATCCTTAGTACTAAAAGAGCTAGTTTCTATAGAAGTCAACAATCGATGTTTCAAAAAATTGCTTTTATAATTATAAACATTTTTACAATCAGTCATGCAAAAATGAAGTATAAGCATTATTTTCAAACAATCTAATGATAGTTTTTCAATCTTATCCCAGAAAGAAATTCTCAATATATATTCGAAAAGAACAAAAAACATCGGATTATAACTAATTACTTTTTGACTCTAAGAAATTGAAAAATCAATGAATATTTTGTGTGAAAAGACTTTTGCGACATAGGTTAGTTATTAAATGAATCTTCAATAAACTTCTGAAATAAGACGCAAAACAACATTTAATGATTATCAAATGGGATAAGAGAGTCAGCTATAACAGATTTGTCTTTTTAGGATTGATA